CCGGAAACTCAGTGTAACTTTCGCAGGTACCCTAAATAATAGGTGCCGTATTCTAATAAGGACCCAAAAAAGGACCATAATTTTGACAACCACCCATATAGTATACTATAGAAGCATGGCATTGATAATCATCATAATCGTAATACCCATCATCATCACATCATACAGGTAGTATCAGGGTTCCATGTGGGGGGTTTCCGAAATATAGGGGACCCTAATATAGTACCCCAAATAGTCGGATCCTTATTATAAGGACCCCAGAATACCGCACCCCCTGTTTTCGGAAACCCCCATGCTTCAGCATCCAGAATGCAGGCCTTGGCCTTGGCAGCGGCCTTACGTGCCGTCTTCACCGGCCTCGCCTCTAGGAGTTAGGGTTTAGGGTTTAGGGTTTCGGGTTTAGGGTTTCGGGTTTAGGGTTTAGGGTTTAGGGTTTAGGGTACAGTTTAGGGTACAGTTTAGGGTTTAGGGTTTAGGGTTTAGGGTTTAGGGGACCCTTGGGGATATAGACCCTCTCAATAAGGTCCCTTTTAAGAGAGCCAGAAGTAAGGTTCAGAAGGGGTACCCTTTAAGGGGTCTCCCTAATACTACTGCCTCGCCTCTGGTACGTCGGCTTGGAGACGCTTCTCACTTTGGGGAGCCGCCAGGGAAGCCTTGCCAACTCCACCCAGGCATGGCCGAACACAAATCAAAGTGTCCCGGTCTCCGAAGTGGATGCGCACCATCTTCTGCGGCCGCTGGACCTCCAGAATCAAAGCTCGCTCCCGAACATCAACCAGCTCAGGAAGCTGAGACGTCACTTGAAGTCCCAAATTTACCCAAGACAACCCAAAACAAGGTCCCCGCCTTGTCAACTTCGATAGACTCGGCCGCAAGTGCCAGAAATGCCTTTTCTGCTGCCTCTGCAGACAGGAACAAGGCCCTGGCACCTTGCAGGGCTGTTCCGGATACTTCCGATCCCTGAACCATCGTGATGCCCTCCACTTGAGACGCCAAATCGCTTCGTAAGGAGGTGAAGAGCTTCGTAATGGCACCAAACGCCTCCGCTCGCCGCGGTATTCGATGCAAGAACAGCGTCCTTGCCTGCAGGTCTGAATCGCTTGCAGGGGGCGGAGGCACCCAAACCATTGCTGGCATCTCTTTGGAGCGCCCAGTGCCTCTCAGTCGCTGCAGAGCAATCTGCATCGTTACGAGCACATCCTGGGCACAGTCGTGCGTCCCAGTGGCACGGAAATCGTCCTGACCAAGTATGTGCTGCACCAGCTGTGCCAATGCGGGTCGCCGCTTTGGTTGACCCTCCACTCCATACCTGACAAGATGTCGGCAGGCTTATCAATGAAGACCACAACACCCATCAATGACAAACTCTAAACTTACATCCCCAATAAACCAAAAATAAACGGTTAAACTGTCAGATTGCTACGAATATACAAGAACCCAGAAAGTTAAAAGGTTGGGCATTGGAGAACTAAGTAAAGCTTCCAAAGCATCACCCCTGCTGAAAACCCCCCAGGCTGCGAGGTATGATGACAAGATGCAACAGGGAAATATCCAAAACCAAAGGTGCGTCGAGCCGGAGCACGTCCAGGTCTTTGTGCAATGTGTGACCTACAACCACCGTCAATGGATGGATCAGGCCGAGGATGTCTGCCTGTGCATCTTCGAGCCGGTAATCCACCTCCAAGTCCTTCGCCTCGATACCGGTGATACTGCTGCGAGCATCTGTGACCTTCCCGGGAGGTCTCACCAGCCTGTCAAGCAGCAGCTCACCCCGGGCGTTGCAGACGCAGACGCGCGCGAGCGCGTCCTCCTCCAGATCCGTGGAAACCATCTCGCAGTCCACCGCCACGAGAACGTCCTCTGCCTGCAAAGCCTCCGGGTCCGGCGCGGCCGCCCGGGACCTTCTCCGCCCTTCCCCGAGACCGGCGAGTCCGAAGAAGAGGCCGAAGTTTGGGTGAGCCCTTGTGAGCTCCACCAGTCGCAGCAAGCGACTAGCGGTCGGATCACCTGATCGCAAAATCATCCCAAAAAACGATCCACGGATCATCCCACAACCTACCCGATTTGAGAGGACGGGGCCCGGACTGCCAAGGGCTTCCTTGAGCTGCTCCTTTGCCTTGCAGCGCCAATCTCGCACATGTCTGTAGCTTCAGTGCATGCAGGCCTTGTTATTATAACTATTATTATTATTATCATTAGGGTTTCGGGCCGTCATTGTGCTTTGGCACCCTCGAGTCACATTGTACATGGTTCAACCCAACCTGACCTTCCGTCTCTTCCGGTCGTTGCGCAGAACTTGGCTCCCCAAATCTCCAGATCCACAGTCCTCCAGGAAGGCTTTCAAGGCACCGATCTCATGCCTTCCATGGAGTTTGGGGTTTAGGGTTGTTTAGGGTTTAAGGTTTAGGGGAATGCTCCACATGGGTTGTTCTCCAAATTCGGGTCCCTTTAGGGGTCCTTTTTTCTAAGGGTGCCGTACTATATTGGGACCTATAAAGGGACCCTAATTTAGAAAACTACCCACATGCTTTCAGAAGGTCAAAAGCTCGGAGCCAAGATGGGCCTTGCCGGATCTCGGGCGGACGCGCTGCCGCCCCTTCTTTCCAGCCACTCTGCCCAACTTTGACCTCTCAGTGATTAGGGTTTAGGGTTTAGGGTTTGGGGTGTAGGTTTTAGGGTTTAGGGTTTAGGATAATTCAGGGTTTAGGGTCCATTTAAGTTTAGGGTAGCTGCAAATGAAGCCTTGACGCCTCGAGCCACGGCCCTCCCTGTTTGGGGCCGAGAGTATATACCAATACTAGTTTGGGGGGGCTCCCTACTTTTATAGTTATGGTATTACAAACCCCAAAAGCCCTTTTCGAATTCTTACGGCCCCATAGAGTATAAGGGTTTTCATACTGACAATGTGTGGTCCCAGGCCAAGGGTCCGTGACGATTTGAGGCGCCCTTGGCCTGCAGACTGCGCACCACGCCTGCCAGCAGCTGGTGATCCTCGGGTCCCTCGTAGCTTGGGGCATCCTGCGGTTTCCCCATAACTGGCTCCCTGCTGGGAAGATAGTGAAAAGATGATCATTTCTAATCCTCACTGGGTTTCATTATGACCAGAATGTAAAATGGTGTCCAACAAGGACCCAGATAAAAGAGGGTCTAAGGGTCTGCTCTGAGGCCTCTAACATGCTTCCGCTCCACCGTGATAGTCGTAGTCGTCTGCGAGTTTTATCCCAGTTCGTTGCTGACCAAGACGGCTCCCAACCTATAAGACATCCTGAGCAGAATGGCCCATTGGCAATCACAAGGCGACCACCCAATCCTCCCCCCCGAACTTCGATCCACAGCAGCATTTTCCCTGTTAGTGCCGCTTGCAGTCTTGAAGCCGCGACCGGGAGAAGACCTGGTGCCACAAAGTTGTGGCTTTTGCAGAGAAAGAGAGAGAGAGAGAGAGAGAGAGAGAGAGAGAGAGAGAGAGGGAGAGAGAGAGCGGGAAAGAAAGAAAAGGGTGAAGCCCTGGCCAAGTGCTTGAGAACACCTCATCTTCTAGACCTGTAATACAAGGCGTCGCGCGCCGTCGAAAAGAAAAGGACAGGCCCGTGTCTCGGCAAGTCTAGATGATGCTAGGCTGGACTGTGCAAAGTCTCGCCTATCTTAGGCGAAGAAATCCGAGGTCCAGCGGCGGGCGCGCTTTCGCGTGCTGAAGTCCGAGCGAGAAATGACCCCCGCACGCAGAAAGCCACGTATTCGGCTAGGGACAAAGCGTTTATTGGCAGGGATCATCTTTCTGGAAGCTAGGTGTCTGGGCCCACGCCTGAATGCTTGCAACACGATTGCACAAGTGCATGTCCTCTGCAGGGTCGGGGCCCCTGTGCAGTATCAACTTCGGCAGGCAGCAGACAGTATAAAAATCTATCGTTGGTGCTACACTCCTTTGGAGACAAGCAGCCCTATCTAAGTGCTGTTCCACCTCGCTGTTGTGAATCATCTGCTCTGCAACAAAGGTTACCCGCAGAGTGGAAAGCGCAGTGGAAAGCACACCTTCCTTGGAGGAGCGCAGTGCTAGTTTCAGCGCGCGGCCCTCCATGCAAGAGTTGACCGCTCAATATGTCGAGTCATCAAGTTGAGTCATCAAGCCACACCTGAAGAGAATTGTCTTAGTCAGCCGAGCTGTGCCGGATCGTGTCATGCGTTGTTATCTGAAAGCGGGAGTCCAGATGCGAAGCCTGCAGGAGATCTGGCTGTGGCATGGCCGGACAGGACTGCTCCGCACACCTTTATGGCCCGTGCCCTCTTCCACAATTTCAAGGGCCGATGAGCTCAATGTCATGTCCTGCGAGGCAAACGTAAAAGTTGCATGGGTCCTGCTCAACCATGCTGCCATTCGATGCCATATCCTGCTGGAGTTCTCCAGGGAGCAGAGAATCTAAGCCCGCCTGCACCAGTACACCAAAAGGAGGAGGGGAACTCTAAAATTGCCCCTCTCCGGCCTTGGATGAACCCGTCCATGGGGTGGCAACTCGCCCCATATTCAAAGCAGATGTGGCCTCGCCGCATGACTTCTTCAACTGAAGCGAAGGCAAATGGCGGTACACTGGTGACCGAGCATCCGAAATAGGGGTTTCAGAAAATAGGGACCCTAA